CAGAGGTCTGGAGGAGTTAGGATAGGAGCTGCTCTGTGGGGGGGGGGTCTGGAGGAGTTTCTGGAGACAGCCGGGGAGCTGCTGCTCTGTAGGCTGGGAGCTCCTTCCTCCATCCGTTTTTGGGGCTTAAAAGCTGTTTTGGGGGGCTTTAAAAGTTGTGTTTGATGCTTTCAAAGCTGTTTTTGATGCTTTTAAAGCCGTTTTGGGGGGTTTTAAAGCTGTTTTTTGGGGGTTTGAATCTGTTTTGGGGCTTTAAAGGACAGGAGCTGCTCTGTGGAGAGGTGGTATCGGCAGTCCTCACCTGACCCCCTTCTTGTTGGCCTCGTCGTGGGGCCTGATGTAGTCCACGTTGCCCTTCGTTATGACGCACAGGTCGATGTTGCTGCCGGAGCCCAGGTCATTAAAGATCCCAGCCGCAATGGCGTCACGCACCAGCCGCTTGGCGTCCTGTTCCTGAGAGGAAACGCACACGGGGGTCAGGGAAGGGCAGCAGACGCACACAGACTCACACCAGACTCACACAAACACAACCAGACTCACACTAGACTCACTCACAGACGCACACAGACTCACACCCTCTCCTTACAGGCCTGTGTGGGGCGTTACTCACCTCCATGTCCTGCTTGTAGCGATCTTCAAAAACCGCCATGGCAGCCAGGGACCCAGAGCCTAAAGGGGGGGGGGCAAAAAGGGACCATCAACAACTGGATCACTGATCACTGACCTAGTGGCTGCAAATTAGCACAAACAGCAGAAACATCAACACAAGGAACTCTGACCCATGGTGACGTAGGGCAGCTTGTCGGTGGAGCCGTGAGGATAGATGCTGTACAGATGAGGGCCGTTACAGTCCACTCCCCCAAGAACCAAAGCAGCACCAATGTAGCCCTGATACCTGGGGAGGCACACAGAGAGCAACATGTTCAGACACTGACAGGAGCTAAGAGCTGCTAAGAAGAGCTACAAGCTGCTAAGAGGAGCTATGAGAAGCTAAAAGCTGCTAAGAGGAGTAAAGAGGAGCTACGAGCTGCTAAGAGGAGCTAAAAGCTGTTAAGACAAACTAAGAGCTGCTAAGAGGAGCTAAGAGCTGCTAAGAGGAGCTAAAAGCTGCTAAAAGGAGTTAAGAGCTTCTAAGAGGAGCTAAAAGCTGCTAAGAGGAACTAAGAGGAGCTACAAGCTTCTAAGAAAAGCTAGGAGTTGCTAAGATGAACTAAGAGCTTCTAAGAGGAGCTAAGAGCTGCTAAGAGGAGCTAAAAGCTGCTAAGAGAAGCTAAGAGCTGCTAAGAGGAGCTAAGAGGAGCTAAGAGAAGCTAAGAGGAGCTAAGAGCTGCTAAGAGGAGCTAAGAGAAGCAAAGAGCTGCTTAGGTAGACACACCTGAAGAGCATTTGCTTGAGCATTCGGTTGGCGGTGGCTACCCGCGGCAGCCGGCCGGTAGAGAGGGAGTGCAGCTCCAGGTTGGAGGAGATGATCTGAGTGGTCATTTCTGTGTCTGCAGCTGTCCCTGCTCCACAACAGCTGGATGATACACACGCAGACAGCAGTCAGGGGGAGTCCCTCAGATCCAAACATCTCCATTTGACCATTCAAACACAGCCCCCCCTTCTCATGTAAACAAAGGGACATTGTGGGCAGATTGTCTGGCCAAGCCGACCCCTTTCAGATCAGTGTGGTGTCCCACTTACTAGATGTTGGGTGAGATGTAGTGGATCTTGGAGCAGTTCTTGTCTGCCACTACCATGCCTTCGGTGGCTCTGGTGTCAGCTCCGAGGATCACGCCATCCTTAACACAGAATCCAAAACCACTATTTAGACTCTAAAAAGCCTGGACGGTAAAACCGTTACAGATGATCCAGAACGCGGCGGCGAGTCTGGTCTTTAATTGGCTCAAAAAGTCTCATGTCCCCCCTCTGTTCATTGAGCATCACTGGTTACCCCCGGTTGCCCCCATTACCCCTGGCTGCCCGCAGCATCGGTCTGCTTTGGGAGTCAATTTGGAGAAAAGCGTCTAAATGCATAACCGGAAACATAAAATCCCAAAAAACAGCTTTAATGCCCGAATACACGGCTTTAAAAGGCCCAAAAAACGGTGTAAACCCCCCCCAAAACAGCTTTAAAGACCGTAAAAACTGTTTAAAAACCACGAATAACAGCATTAACAGCACCCAAAACCACTTTAAAAGCCCTACAAACAGCTTTAAAAGCCCTACAAACAGCTTCAAAGCCCCACAAAAACAGCTTTAAAAGCTGAATGTCATATTGATGATAGCTGTAAAATTGTGTCTACTTTGTAAGTCACTGTGGATAAAAGCGTCTGCTAAATGCTTAAACATGAACAAGTGAGCAAGTCAGTGACATTTACCCAATAATTGAGGGAAGAAATGGAAAAACTAACATTTCCGTAGGTGTCATGCAGCTGTTTTCAGACGGCTGAATCCAGCTGCTGCAGACACTGGAGGCTATCGGTCACTCACCTTGAAGACAACGCCACAGATGGTGGTTCCCGTTTTCCGAGCAGCAGGAAAGCTGCTTCCCAGCTTATTGACTTCAGCTTCCAGGACTGCATTTCTGAAATGAAATATGTTAAAGTATGAAGCTAAAGTATCATAGAAATATTTAGGTTATCTCGTCAGATGGAGCTTGTGAAGTAAATACAGTGTGAGCCATCATTTCTGAGAAGCTTTTATTCCTGTGATCAATTCAAAGGTCTGGAAATGTACACTTTACACCAGATTATTCTGAAACAGACTAATTAAAACCCGGAACAGATATTAATAGCATGTGATCCATTCAAAATTTATCATAAAGAACCAAACTGTCGAATCATTTGAAAGTTTTATTGTTTCACAAATCCCAAACACAGTATTAGGGATTCTGTGTAGAAATAGTCCATCCACGCTTGACTGATCCAAGTATTTCGGTTTTGTGTCAGCTGTTTATCTCAAAACCTGGGAAATATCCCTTTATACACATCCCTTGAATTGTCCAAAAACAGAGGCCAACTTCAGCGCCGTTTATAATATTTTACATAATAAACGAAAAACACTGAAAACTATCACTGGCTTGTAACTAGACGAGCTAAAAGCGTTTAGAAAACAAATCATTATTGGATTAAAATGTGGGACAAAGGCGATTTAAAGAAATTACATCGTTGTGGGAAATGCCTGAGTCATTGTATGAAATCCCAGTAAACATGCCCGTTAATATTAAATTCCTCTGCTCCTCAAATAGGCAAGATTAAAACTTCCACACATAGTGCGTTTAATAACACCGTATTCGTTACATGGTTCTCAGTCGTTTAAACTCAGTTACCTTTTGCAGTTTTCGAAACTGAATCCCCCGAAAGGTGGTCGGCTTACCGCTACAGTCGCCATTTTGGTGGATGGAGGTTTGTGTTTCCGGGAAGTAGAGGAAACGGTTATGCTGCGTTCACTGACATCCGGTTGAGAAGCGTTCCGCCTCTGACAACAACAGAGCTACGTTGTTTTTTAAATGTTGACCCGTCTTTTTTATATACTGCCCTGTGAGGAGGATTAACCATTTTCCTTTCTATAATGCAGTTTAAATTTTAAATAAATTGTCCTGGTGTACTTAGAGATGTAAGATGAGGAGAGTAATTACGAAAGGAAGTACCAGACGCTAGCTGGTCACTTGGCTTGACTATAATAATAATGATAATAATGATAATTGTGATGATGACGGTATAAAAGTAAGAGGCTATACAAAGGGAGCTCTGTGTGCAGTAACTTTGGATAGATGGTGCAAATAACAATAAACAGAATTATTGTCATAAATAGATTTTTTTCGAATGTCTTTTAAAATAAGAATTTTACCATAATAGATAAGGTGTCACATCATGATCGCCATTCAAAAACAACCTTTCTTTTGTCTTCCTGTGTCCATTTGCTGGAGTTCCTATAGGTTCTCGATCCGGATTTCCCACAAGGAACAGTTTATCTTTACAGACAGCAGCTGGTTGTATGGCTTTGCCAATAAAACTTTATTTAGCTAAACTCTTGAAGTTTTCTTTCCTTTGTGAGGAGCCCCTCTCTTAGACCGACTCCTGAGGCCTTTTTACAGCCCAAAAAAGGTAATTCCTGAGCATAAACTGGTAAAAAAACACCCAATCACACTGGCTTCCATCCACAGGTTTTTCTTCTGGTATAAATAAAAACATGTGACATTCAATTTCCATTGGAACAGACTAATTACAAGCTGAGAGAAACATTTAAACAGACCAACTCTGCTGACACATTACATGAAATAATAAAGAACCTAGTCACAAGTTACCCAAAGAGAGATTTAAGGAAAAGGCTGAATAATCTGATCTGTGTCCTTAGTGAAAGGAATAGTCCCAAATGTGTCCCTCACATGAACACACCTTTGTTTCTACCTCTGAGAACTTGATAACCACTATTGACACCTTGTAGGAGAAAGCACTTTGGATATCCAAAGCACCTGAGTCCGTCTGAGGAAACCCCTCTGACTGGGTGTTCGGGGCTGAGGTGGGACTCAGGTGGCGAACGTCCACATGTGTAGCTGCTCAGCAATCTGAAGCACAAAGACAATGTCCGGTCTCTGGTCTGGGTCCGGGCTGATGCACATGCTGACCAGATGCTTCAGCTGTAACACAGAAAAAGCATACCGGAGTTTTCTTTTCTGTTGAAATGGCTCTGACTTCATGCTACTTTCACATAGTTTTATTTTTTAAATCTAAATAATACTACATTCTTTTCAGTGTTTCTCTGAGTCTTACTGTAATGAACTCTTAAAAAGTAGTTTTAGTGACACTATGGCTGCCCGTGTGATTTTATTTTGTTGTTTCCGTTTTCATTGTCACATGATTTTATTTTTGTGCTCGCAGGCCGGAAGCAGGTCTAACGGAAAAAACGGTTAGCTTTGTACGGAGTCTATAAAGGATAAAACAACTATTTCACAACTTTAAAGGTTAAAACACACATTTATTAAGCACCTGGCTGAAAGTAGGAAAAAGGTATGTTACAAAAATATGTTTTATGTGGACTTATGTGTGATTTGCTGACTTAAATGACTGTTTATTTTCTATACTGATGTTTAAGTTAGCGTTAATTCAGACTAGCATATTTTGTTTTATTTTATGGATAAAAATGAATACATTTTAAACTAACCTTAATGATAACGAAAACTTTGCCAGAAACACATAATAAGTTCTGCTTTTAGACTTTCACTTTTTAATGCATTATCTTTTATGTGAACCACTTTAAATCTTCTACACGAAATGTGCTTACAAAGCTAGTTTTAAATGAGTATGCCTCAGATACTGTTTCCCTCCTAAACTATTAAATTATTATTAAATCATCATTAAATTAATATTAAAGTATTATTATTATTATTATTATTACTACTACTACTACTAATAATAATAATAATAATAATACATATTATTGAATCATTACTAATTATTAAATAGTAGTTGTGTTTCTGTACCTTTTCAGAGTAGGGGTCTGGTGGCAGAGGAGGGTATTCACACTGCTCAATCTTCTGGCAGAGAGACAGAAGGTTCATCTTGTCCCCGTAAAATGGACTCTGTAACGCCGCCATCTGGAAAAGAGAGTCATAACAACCATAAAAACACTTTCCATGGAAAAACAGGTAATTTGACAACCTCAGTTAGACAAAAAGAAAAGCTCAGTGTCCAGAGTTATTGCACCGTGCACCAGAGTTAAGGCTCTCGCTGTAAGAAATGAGAGCTCTGAGGCCCCTTAAATAAACTTGAATTGTCTTCTTCATGAGAGAGAAGCAGCACATCTGTAAGACCTGCCGGTGAAAGCGAGCTTACCTCATACAGGAGACATCCCAGAGACCAGATGTCTGACTTAAAGTTGTACCCATTCTCTCGGATCCTCTCTGGTGACATGTAGTAAGGTGTCCCCACTGGAACGGAGAGAGAGAATAAACAGTATTTATGTTTCAGAATTGCTTTATGAATCCCTTGTGGGAAATTCTTTTATTTTTTACAGAAGAAAAAAATAAAATAGATAAACTTAACAATCAACAGTATTAACAAAGCTGCTCAGTGTCTAAATTACTATTGCTGCAAATAGTGAAGTATGAAATAAATAAATAATAAGTCATGAAATGACTGTCAGAGAGATGTAAACAATAAACTAACTGAGAAGTTTGTTGGTGACTCATACATGACAGAATTGTGGAAATAATCTAAACCAGGGGTCTTCAAGGTTTTCCAGGCCAAGGCCCCCCAAACTGATGGAGTGGGACCCCCTGATTCTATATTTTGT